GCACGGAATAGCTGTCCAGTGCTCCTAGGTTAACAATGTTTCTCTAACTGATGTCAGTCCATGATGAATACTATTCTGAAAAGAGTAAATTAATCCCTACAAACCTCCAAATTGAATACAGACGACTAGCAGACATAATTCCAAAGAACATAGGTTGCATTATTGAAACAAGGTGATGACTAAAGGGGAAGTGAAAACCCGGGTCGCGCTGGGATTCGGACCAGGAGTCTCCAGGCCACTCGACTGGTTCTCTGCTAACTGTTCAGCTATGACACCTTATCAGCAGCTAATTCATGTATTGGTAAGTTTAGATTTGTGCAAAATTAAAAACTTATCATTTTGGCACCGCAGATTGTATTCGGTTCCTTTCTCTTCTGTAAAAACTGTCTTCTGATTGCCTATGGCTACTTTTAGTATATGAATAGTTTCATCTACTCTATAATGTTAAAACATTTGCATAGGTAAGCAGAACTAGAGAATCATCTTTGCGCTTGCTATAAAGTCAAAAATTCTCTCTAAAATCATGTAGTTTTCTTTGGAGAAGGATGAATTCCTGTTCATTTGCGTTGCGGTAAAGTATCCTTTTGTTGGAAAAGTACACAACAGTCCTGTTCGTAATATCCGTGCCGATGCAATACTGGGACTTGTATTTCTCTGACAACCAGATTGTTTATTTAGTCGACTGGCGAAGCGTGCAAATTTTCACAACTTTAGCGATACAGTGATTGTTATCAACTTTGGTTTTGTACAGGGTGATGAGCATTTCATTGTATACTTTACTTTTGTCACCATTCCAGTCAACCAATACGACTGTCACTAATATATGTATTGAATAAGCCTAAAATATTGACCACATCACTGTTACAGTGGAAAAACAGTCAACCAATTGAAACTGAACACCAATAGATCTTCCGCAAAACCACCACATGAAATTGTCTAGTTTAAGCAACTCCATAATTAAGAAGAATAATTTTGATGAGGCCCTAGCAACCAATTATCATTAGGATAACCGAATATGTCGAGTCTGCTTTGGTATTATTATCAACTATAAATGGTGTGTTTCACCAACGGTGTAGGTATTATATCTCTACTAAAAATGCGATAAATCTGACACTATTTCCTTTGAGAAAAGCTGTGACAGATTCTATCCGATAACTTATTAGTAAGTATATATTCAGAGATTCCAATGACATGACTTCAAAATATGCGAGAGTTTCCCACCCTATCCTCAGTTAACACATGATATTCCACTGACCAGATACATCTTAAATTTTTCGATTCATTACATGTACTTCAACATTTTGTGTAAGGGTTTATGATACTACTCGACTGCCCTAACTGAAGTAGGCAGAGTTGTACTTTAACTCTAGGCCCATTGATTGAATGTCAATTATCCACCCCCCCCTTCTTTTAAATTGAAGTTTGGCGAAAAAAGACATTATCGCATATATCTCCCACTTACCTAAGCTATTTCGACTGCTGTCACTAAGAGAGCAAATAATTCTGTACAAGCGTTCCGATTTCGCCAGCATTGTAAATGCAGTCATTGGATAACAAGCACCATTGTGCTTCGTTGGATCTAAGTGATCTATTCACAGTATTCAACAATAGTAGGTATGCTTCGGCTGACGCATACCTACAGAGAGAACTAACACTAGAGTGGAATGAACTACTAACTATAGTCTGATGCAATGTAAGCGCCTTTTCTTACGCAATAGTCATCTGGTAGTTTTTTTTCAAGGCTACTGTCTCATTGGCTAACCACCTTTATCTACTTTCTCCGTTTCGCGAAAAGTTAAACTTAGTGTACGCATACATGTGCAAATGATACAAACTATCAACTACTCAAATGGTAAAAAAGCTTTGCATTCAGACTTGTGTCCTTCTTCGTGTTACACCGAAGTTGTTATCATCCAGAAGATTGATGTAGAAGCCTTATCCGTTCATTGTATGAGTTAGCTGCAAAATACTCTCATGACTCTGAAGGCAGCATGAGTTCGTGCGTACGACAGGGAATAAAAGCTGATTCATGTGGTCACTTGAATTATTATCACATTTAAATCTCGATGATTTATAAAACACCTTAACTTCCTCCTAAACTCTGATTCGCAAACTCATCTGAGAAGTTGTACATTCATCTCCTGGTTTTATATGTCTTATGAAGCAGTGCAACTTATAGTTACTGAAACCCAAGTTTACGCACTTCACTGCATTTCACACCTAAATTAACTGACATTACTTACAGGTATTGACGAATCTACAAAAAGATATAGTGTAGGAGAATAAAGCAATCAACTGTTTCCCGCAGTTGCTAAATGTAATATGTTGCTGCAGGACTGGTCTAAAACTACTTTCAGCTTAATGATAGAAAGTGAAGTGGTGGAATGTGTCGACTATCTATATATTAAACGACAAGTATGTTGCGTTCTATCGTGTTATACGGCTGTAAGACATGACCGTTAAAAGTAGAAGACAAGAAATGGTTACAAGGTTTTTGATCACAGGTATCCTCGATACACTGCTCGTGTTTAGTGAGATCATCATGTGAGCAATGTTGAGATCAGTCGAAAGGTATTAGGAAAGACAGGCAAGTCGATTGATGAGGTTGTGAACCTCAAGTGACTGAGGTGGCTAGAATATATACCGTACATGCCAAATCACCGCCTACCTCAACGTGTCCCGTTAGAAAGAGGGTTCGGAGTGGCCAGACCAAAGCCTGGTACGAGCCTATGAAGTCTCTGACTGTCGGTCTAAGATATGTGGGGAGATGTAGACTAACTGACTGGGTATCCCCAAGACAACAGGAATCAATGGTGTAGATGTATACACTGTCTAACGTCTTCTAAAGCTTGAGTATTTTCACAAACTGTCATCTTCAAATTGTTTCTCCTGTCATACACTTTTTCTACTTTGATGTCAGTTTTTGTCTCTTCATCTGTACTTCTGTGGAGTGTGCGAGGTTCTACGTTGACTGTCTGGTTGGCTTGTTTCTTTTCATGTTATGGAAAAACAAACAAAACAAAACACGTGTTTACTTTTAACCTTTACTCAAAGTCAATATCATCTAATTAAGAAAGATGAAAATATTAAGGGAAAGAAGACATGCTGATAGTGTATTTTATTATTGTGTTACTATTGCTTGCTTTTTTGACAGAGAGAGGAGAGGTGATGTGAAAGAAACACTTGCCTATTACCTTTAGCCAACATGTATAACAAATAAAAGTAAAGTAACGCAATACAAGAAATGAATGCAAATATTTATAGATTACCTAGTGGAAACATTGCAGTGGAAACGTGTAGAACTTTGATTCGATTTAAATGTGAATTCCTTGCAGAGAGGAACAACTTGAGCAAATCTAATACAGTTGAGGTATGTATGTATATAATACATTAAGATGTGCATTCCTCATATACAACAACGACAAGGACTGTTGAATCATTCAATCGATTAAAAGAGAAGTAATATTCAAGAAACCAAGATATTCTCATTTTTCATTGAATCACTTCAAAGTAGGCAATATAGTGATGAATAGCCTCTGTGTAAGGAAGAAAATTGAATGAAAGACTAATCCATGAACTGATTCTTTATATATGTATGTTATTCTCGGTAATAATAAAAAAATGAGAAAGAAAAGAATGAAAATATAGATACAAGGACAGTGCATATGTACATATTAATGTGGTGTGGACAGGGGCGGAGGGGAAAGAACAACTGAGGGTATAAAATGAACTACTGACGGTTAGAAACTGAGAAACATTGGTTAGATGCAATGACAATAATAATAACATGAATGAATACATATATATGCAATACTTTAAGGCGCTTTGGTGAGAGGAGAGAAGACTTTGGGAGCTGTATCAAAAAAACATTCAATGGAAGTATTAGTAATTAAGGATGTCACACATTCAAGGAAGACACTTGGACTCTTAAGTGCATAGATTGAGCAATAAATTGAATAGTCAAAGAAATACGAAGAACAACCGGAGTGAAAAGAGTCAATGGATATATCCCATTGAAAGATAAGAAAGATAGAGAACACAATACTGGCTGAAATAAACTTTGAAAAGAAAGAAAAATTCAACAATCTATATGAAAATAACTCCTATACAAGCAAGTAATACTAAAACCAACCTGAGTTGAATGCAGGAAAAAAAACAGCAACAGAAAGAATGCTCCCACTGAATTTTCAGATAAGTAAAAAAAAAAAGACTTGCTGAAGGAAAATTATAAAGTTTCACAATACTCTCTCCCCGGATAATACTTTCCTCTCAACAACCAATTAATGATAAACTGTGTGGAAGAATGAGTAATGTGAACACATGCATATCCAAATACCAATCTGATTAAAAATGTACGCTATATATATATATATATATATATATATATATATATATATATATATATATATATATATATATATATATATATATAAGCAGTTGAACATCGTACTAGTTTGTTGATAACACTACAAACAAACTGACTACTTATACTCAGTTGAAGAAGGATAAAAACAGAGAAAAGTTGAAATGACAACAATCTGTGACTAAAACAAAAAGGAAAGGAAGAGAAGAAAATCTTTACTTACAAGGCAGTAGATCTTTTATACTTGTAAAAACCAAGGATAATTCAAAGTAAAAATACATAAACAGACAATTTAGAGATAAAACAAGAAAATCCAAATTAAAAGATTTTACAGTTACACTTTAACATGTTACAATTTTTGCACAGCCGTAAAACAATAATAATAATAATAATAATAATTAAACAAACATAAGAAAAGGCTAGTCAGCCTGTTTATAATGCACATTCAAATCACGGAATGCATATATATATGCATTAGAAAGGTGAATTAATTGAATTATGAACAGAGTTGGAATAAAGACTACTCTTTTAATGAATGAAGAAAATGCGTACTATGTAGATAATAGACGCAAAATACCTTTGAGAATTGATTTCAACCTAAAGTTTTGATAATAAAATTTATATGTGACCAATTCTGTCAAGTAAAATGAGCTTGAGTTAAAGTATAATGAGGTGATAGGATAGCATCTTCTTCATGATAATCAACTGTAATCTCTTCATCTTCTAGCTCACCTCCTTCACTATCCTCTAAAGTGTTCATATCACCTGGTAGAGTAGGATTAAATAAGAGTAACCAAGTAGGAGTAGGTGGTTGTGCAACTGCTGCATTTTGTGGTGGTCTAAACTCACGTAAATAATCCACAACAGTTCTAGCATTAGCTAATCCAATAAGATAAGGTATCAGTTCAGATAAAGCTTGATCATTTGAATCACCAAACCATGAAACAATTTGGAGCTTTAAAAAAACAAAAAAAATTAAGGTAAAATACTAATAACAAGATGGATACACCATGTATATTACAAAACCCTAGTTTTTAGTCTATTTGACAGATCTAATAACTACCATTTAAAAATATCTATTCGCATATGATAAAAATAGAAGTGAATGGGGTGTGTTGGAACGTGCATATATACCAACATAAAGCAACCATACACCACCAAGTATGATCAGGAGCTACAGGTTTCACGGCGAATGTGTTAACCATTCAGCCACTGAATTGGAGTTCAGTGGTTCACAGTTTTTTACGCCAATGTCACTCTATGATGAATACAATCTCAAACATAGAATCCCTATAAACTCCAAACTACAGTGCTGATTAGAGACAAGTTTTGAGATGGATTTCCTGAAATCCTACTGAAAAGCCGTCGCCAGTGAGACCAACCAGTCAGAAGTGAAGCGGATTCCAACTGAAGTCACACTATGTCGTGAATTGACACAAGTTGGAAACCGTGAACCATCTAACTCACGCTCGCCGTGAAACGAAGGTCCTGAGTTCGAGTCCTGGTGCGGCGGGGTCGTCTGTGCGTACTGCTGAGAAGTCCAATACTAAAATGAAGCAGCTGCTACTGCTACTAGGTTTTCAATGCTTCTCTAAGTGGTGTCAGATCATGATGAATAAAATAAAATCCCCATACACCTCAAACTACATTGCAAATATATTTGACTGAGGAAAGCATTCACGATGGTATACACATCAGTTAAAACAGCAGAATACAGTTTCAATTGCATCAACAAAAGAAACATTGGGGACATTTGATAAAACTGTATCACACAGAATACATGACATTCCCATGTAAATCTGTCATAAATATAGAGACTTTAGACTTTACCTATTCATCAAGATCAACGTTGAACCAGGTATTACTGTCTAACGGTCCAAGTTGCTACACATATCAGCACATCAAGTAACAAGGCGATAAAATGGAAGATGTAGAAGGAAAGAAAAATCAGTCAGAGAAAGTAGAAAGTAATAAGAGAGAGGAAGGAAGAATGAGATGAGATTAAGTATAGCAGTTAAGATGAGAATAATGTGTGTATGCGTCTGTGCTACTGATATCGGTTCTGAGACATGTCGTCTAGAGTCTCCAATCACTGGTTTCTCTTTCCCCCTAGACCTCAAACGGCTAGTTTGCATCGTCCTACATGGCTTCAACCAACAGTCAAGGACTTCATGCATTGATACCACGTTCAAGTCTGGTCGCCATGAGCCTTTTTGTAACCTGCACCTACTTCGGCCGATATTATGTGACGAGGAAGACGGTGGCTAGGTATAAGTCTGATTTCTATGTTATTCAAGTGGTAACACCACGAAACACGACCTATGCTACGAAAGCAACGGTGGTCAAACATTTGAAGCCTTCTCCCGTCTTCTACCTGTAATGGCTGTTTCACAGTCATACAGTAGAACAAAGCAGACTGCAGCCCAGTATACTCGACTCTTTATAGACAAACAGATATCAGGGCTGTGTCACAGATGGCGTAAGCTGGCAAAAGTCAGCCGAGCCTTTTCTAACCGCGCAGAGATCTCGTCATCTACTGACCAACTCACCACGACTGGTCCGACTTTCCAAATAAGTGAAGTGTTTGACGCACCCAACGACTTCACCCTATTTTGTGATGACCAATGATATGCCATGCAACTGTATGAGATAGAGATGATGTCTGACTTATGACTCAATGGTAAACAGTTTAATTTCTTGGGATAATCCATCACAACCGCATGAGAATATAATCAGACAGTAAGTAATAACAAGCATGATATTAAACAAGAGTACAAATTGCACAATAATTATTAAAAGAATATTAGAGTACATTTTAAACAAAATCAACAGGCGATGGTAACTATAGTAACTGAAAGAGTGTACAATAATCAAATCAAGTCATACTTACTGCATTACTTGGTTGAAATAAAAATGATATCGGTGAATTATCAACAATGCATATCTGTTCAACATTTCTTCCAAGACGACTTAAATCCTTGATTAAATTACTTTGATGATCAACACACGCTTCACGAAATAACCGATGACGAAAATACGCTGATGCATCAATGTAATCACACACAGGATCAGCATACTAATCAGTTAAAAGGGGGAAAAAGTTGAAATCAGAAGAAATTTTCTACTTCATACCATAAAGTGCAATCAAGCAATAAAATTATACTACATAAAAATGCATAACAAATAACTTTCTTTTTCTGTCTCTTATAATATAGTAATGCTTATTTTGAAGGCCAATGATTGACAATCTGTATAAGGTGTAGTAAGGTAGTAACTCCAATAAGAAAAACCTAACAACAAATACTAAGATGAAACTGTATAAATAAAACAAAAAAAAACCAAGTTAGGGGTGAACACACTCACTCCACTCACATATACACACATATATAAACATTGAAGAAACCACAAATACATCCAAACTAGTTTACTTGTGCCAAAAAATGTGACTATTATATATACAAAAGTCACGTGTAGGCAGAAATCACAGAGACTATGCATATACATATATAGCTGGTTGTTCATTCATTTAACAGAATATACATTCTTTTCAAGAAAAAGATGATATCCATATTGGAAATTAAACGACAAGCATATAATATTTAGATGAGGTTATAATACACAGACAGTTAAGAATCAAGATGATGATGAGAACAAACAATAAAGCATGAGTCTTAAATGCTTCTATTAGTAGTGAAATCAACACCAAAAGTGGTGAATAATGTAGAGATTAGGTGTAGAATATAGGATAAAGGTGAAACAGTCGATGAAGTTGTAAGGCCCCATTGACTCAGATGGTTGTGACATGTTACATACATGCCTACTACTCACCGCCTACATGAATGTTAAAGTAGGGTTAGATCATCATGGCATCAGTCGGTTACGGAGCTGTGATTTAGTGAGATCAATTAAAACCAGTGGGTCGATCATAGGTTCGAATACTACCCCACCTACCAAGGTTTGACTGGCTGAGCATGTTGCATCAGTCAGTCAATGAAGTTTGTGTTCAATTTAGCGAAATATGTGCTTCCAGGTGGATGTCTAAATGATAATTGTAATCGACGATTTGAGACTACACGGTCAGGATCGATTACAGTGATGTACGTGGACGCATCCACATATTATCTTCATCCTAATTATTATATCACAACTCGTCACTACTCAATTGCCTTTATTTGACTTTCTACAACTTTTAGTTACACATTTTTCGATTTCTCTGTATAGAGGTGAGATTTGGCAACTTTGAACGTTATTCAGTAGTGATAGGTGCTATTTAGGTACTAACTGATTAACTGACTGTTGGATGAACTGTGGACAGCTATACTTGGCAACAGTTTATCGAGTTATCATATGGTGAGAGGTATAGTAACCATGTGAGCTTGGTAGCGTGGAAGAAATATAAGAATCTTCTATAAAAATCTAAGAAAACAATAATCCACATACATCGCCTTCTAACGACTCCTCAAACATATCTAACAGCTAAGTTGATACCACTTGGTTCCCATGAATATTTCGAAAAACCATTTAAATAGTTTCTACCCTCGACCATCAAACTCCAAGTTAGCTAGTTTGAAAATAACATCATTGGCTTTTATTCAACTATATATATATATATATCACACTACACCAACTCCTTGGATTGAATGAATTTTTCTCACTTTTTCGATTTAGATCTGAATGTTAATAATGTCTGGTAAAAGTAGAAATTTCTGTGTTCACTGTATCGATTCCATCGATGAGTGGTAGTCTATACTATACATAACTAACCAGTTGTTCATAAAAATATAAACCAGTGTAACACTATGATGAAAGTCAAACAAACTAACACAATATTCATTAGTAACCCCAAATGCTGAATTGAATAGAATCTTTTTGTTTAAAAATAATAAAGGTCTTTACTCGAACCCCAACCGCCCGTCTTCATTCAGATAGAATGCTAAGTGGAAAATATGTTCCATTTATGATTATCAGTACTAATATATACTAACGAAGATAAGCGTGGCACTACTGATAATTCAGTGACAAAGTTTATAGTCTGGATAGAATGATTGCTCCTGAGGTCAGTTGACAGAGGCTGGTAAAACCATTAAGTTCATACTAAGCATCTTTAACTTATAGTTAATTCAAGTCATAAAAAGGTCAACACTTCTCAAGAATTTAAACTGTCACGGTAACAAAGCCTGAGTTTACTAAATTGTCAGAGGATCTTAGATTAAAATCATCCAGGAAGTCGGAAGTTATCGTACAATCAATAACTATAATAAAGCAGAAAAACGTCCATAGTAAGTGTTTTATACAAATACGACTTATTGTCAAAGCCTAAAGTACTAAACAGCAGTTCACAGCAAGTCACTCCTTCTGTCCAGATTCCAGGAATCCCACAAAAAAAGACAAAGATAAAAGCAATATTATTACAAATTCCTACACTTCACATCACAACAGTCGAGGGTAAATTAACTTTAGGGAAGGCAAAAAAGCGGAATTATGATATAAGCAATCATAATAATAATAATAATAATACACTAAAACATATATAGTATATTATGTTTTCAGAGTTGAAAACAAAAGAATATCTTGTCCACTGACCTTTCGGAGACTTGCAGTGAACATAACACATTCAAAAAGTGGTCCAACAGCCTTGAGAAATTTATCAAGATGTGGTCTCTTCCGGACATAAACCTAAATGAAATAAAATATAAAGTACAATTACATCTAAAACATATTTACGCTTGTATTTCATCAATTCTTATGCCAGAATATATATATTACTACTGCAGTGGGCGCTGCTGATCAGAAAGGACATAAATAGCATATATTGAGAGGGCAGCAGAAATCATAGGCAAATTCTAGCAATGGGTAAACATTCTGCCTAGAAAGACACAAGAGACAATGTGGGCGTATTAAGAGCAAATCAAGATAGAAGCAGGAGAGAAAATGAAGCACACAGTCTCTTGCATTTCTCTGGGCAGAATCTTTACCCATTGCTGGTAATTCCCTATGATTTCTGCCGCATACTCAATATATAATACTTATATCCATTCTGGTCAGCAACGTTCGCTACACTAATACTACTGTTCTTACTCAATTTGCAGAAACGGTTACTAGACAAGAATATGATGAATATTAGAGATTTATATAACGCAGATAAAACTAGTGGATATTTGTAGTTAAATAAAATAGGTATCATGATTAGTGCATCAAAGGGAAGTTCGCACCTGCAGAAATACTGGAGAGTGCAAGACAACAGCTGATATTGGCAAGAGCACTAGTGCTCCGGGTAGTGAATTAAATAACCAGCACTATCTATTTAAGCCTGAAGAACTAGGTAGTGTCAAAGCCTATCGCACATTAGGTGCAGTCCGTAGTCTAGTATACAAATATATATTGGATCGATGAGTTACGATAATTAGCATAAGTAAGAACTACTGACTGGTTTGCATCAATAGGCAATTCAACACAATAAAGTAATCTTTGATTTAACTTAACACAATAACTTTTAACATGCATGATCAATTAAAAAACCAAGACCTAATAAACTAAATACAGGTACGGGCACACTCGTATAGAAGGCTATGAGCCTTGCCTGACTGATAAAATCAACGTAGAACCTCATACCCAAGTTGCCACACTTCACAGTAGCATATAAATAACAAGTGGGTAGAGAAAGACTGATATCAAAGTAGACAAAGTTGTATGAGACAATAAACAATTTGAAGATAATGGTCAGCGTGTATAGTCAAGCTATAAAAGACAAGAGGGAGTGAATACATCTTCACTATTGTGACCGATTTTCAGTTCCATCACCAAGAGTCCTCGACCATTGATTCCTTTCGTCTCAGGAACACCAACCAGACAGTCTATATCTCTCTATACTACTCAGATCAATAGTTAGTGATTTCATCGACTGGTGTCACGTCTTGTTGTGGCCACCATGAACCCTCTTTCAATCCAATCCAGCTGGCCCTAAAATCGCAAGTCGAGGTAAGCGGTGGCTTGGCATGTGCAGTATATCTCCTAACCATCTCAGTCGACTAAGGTTCACAACCTCATCAACTAGCTTATCTGTCTTGCCCTTTGCCTGACCTCAACATTGGTTACACAGTGGTTCCGCTAAACCCGAGCAGTGCTACGAGGACACCAGTGATCAAAAAGCTGTAATCGCTTCATGTCATGCCGAGTGAGCCTTGCCTAGTACTTGATAGGTTAACAATCATCTAGGTTGTCCAAAACAAAGTGGGTAAAGTGGTTCAACGATCAGCAGTCAAACGACTAGACAAACGAATCGCGATTCTACAGTGTTATACAACATAAAGAATTTAGTAATTCGACTTTCAACTTTGCATACACAACAACAGATATTAGATGGAGACAGGAAATCTGAAAGCAATGTTGAGGTCAGGCAAAGGGCAAGACAGATAAGCTAGTTGATGAGGTTGTGAACCTTAGTCGACTGAGATGGTTAGGAGATATACTGCACATGCCAAGCCACCGCTTACCTCGACTTGCGATTTTAGGGCCAGCTGGATTGGATTGAAAGAGGGTTCATGGTGGCCACAACAACACGTGACACCAGTCGATGAAATCACTAACTATTGATCTGAGTAGTATAGAGAGATATAGACTGTCTGGTTGGTGTTCCTGAGACGAAAGGAATCAATGGTCGAGGACTCTTGGTGATGGAACTGAAAATCGGTCACAATAGTGAAGGTGTATTCACTCCCTCTTGTCTTTTATAGCTTGACTATACACGCTGACCATTATCTTCAAATTGTTTATTGTCTCATACAACTTTGTCTACTTTGATATCAGTCTTTCTCTACCCACTTGTTATTTATATGCAACTGTGAAGTGTGGCAACTTGAACCGATGCATCTATGTGCGAGGCTCTACGTTCATCTTTTTCTGTGTGATAGCTCACTTCATATTGAAGTTGGTGCTGTCACTGATATCTACAAAGATCATGAAAGCCTCACTAATAAACATCCAATATAGAGAACGTAACAGAAACAACATAAGTTATGAGTCATCAAAATTATCTAGCAGTCAATAATAATCCCAAGGTGTTTTAAAAATCAGATGGAAGATAATTCCAAGTTGTGGTCGGTCGATTGAAAGTCACATATAAACCAGAGAGCCAAAGTAACTGGAAGCTGTCACAGTATATAGTTTTGCTTCCATCAAATTGTCAACACTGTTACTCTTCAACACACACAAACACATATATAAAGTTGGAGATTCTGAAAATCTATCCTTTAATACTGGGAAAAGGTTTTTCGATACAAGGAACCCAGGAGTAATACATATAATAGCCATCATGTTTTAAGTCGTTTTACCAGTAGACATAAGCCCTGATTTCCTCAAATCTGTTCACAAGCTAAAAATGACCAGCGAAAAATGCTTGAAAAACATTTATTTACTGCTTCAACCAAACAACTTTTTTAAACAATACGCGAAAATGAGGTTCAGCAAGAAAAACAAACGACACTGAGAATAAAAGTATGAATAAGTTGATGAATATAAAAAGTGATTAAGAATGTTTCATTAGTTTTGTGATTTCAAAAGTTCACTCGCCCACAACAACACTTTTCAGAACAGTCTAGACCAGGTTTCCGACCCGGCAGTCTCTGGTTCGAGTCCCACCGCAGTTCAAATTTTCATTTCACCTTTAATTATCACTCAACATTTTTGTGTGTGCATAATCGGATCAGCAACAGGCTTAATTTTTGTAAAAAATCAACAAATAACCTTATCATCATTCGACATTACCATAGGCATGTGATTACAAACGAAAGCGTCAAACACTTAACAAGTATGGTCAAAAGACGTCAATATTCAGTTTAAATATATTCCCATTTCATTTGCAATCGATATGCGTAAATTGAACAAAGAAAACGTACTCGGCCACCTTGTGTACATCCGTGCAGTAGGCAATTAATCACACCTACTGTATGAACATTAAAATACCAATGATCAATTATCTAAGAAATAGAAAACCTTATAGTCTGATATGATCCACTCTGATTGAAAAACGGATCGGAGAACCCTCATTTTTCACCTTTATCAGCTTAGGCCTAACTTATTGATTGAGTAACCAAATTTTATATAAATCAATGTGCATTTTCACTAGGCGATAGAATTATAGTTTACTCATCATCACATGAGGGAACGAAGTAACGAGAGAGAGAGAGAAACTCAACAGACACATACAAATCGCCAAAATGAACACCGATTCTGTTGCGAGAAAATTCAAGGATCAATTCGGACAAAGTTATTATTTATTTGTCCCTTGGGTTCCTAGTGGAACATAGGGCTTCAGTAGCACGTCTCCATTTCACTCTGCTCTCTGTAGTCTTTTGAACCTGGCACCACGACGGCCCACAAGTTTTCATTTCTTCCTCACACCATCTCCTCCATGTCACCATCGCCTCGGAGGCCCAACTCGTCGTTTCCCATCTGTGTTCCACTCGAAGGCCTGGCCTGGTCTGGCCTAGCGCGTGATGTCTCCAATCGGCCTTCTCAGTGTATGCCCAATCCAACTCATCTCCATTTTCTCCCGCATATTCGTTGGGTGGTAGGTTATTGGTTGGTTCGTTGCCAGGCCAGAGTTCCTTGTTGCTTATTCTTTCTGGCCATCCATCTGATCTTTGGTGTCGAATGAGCGTAGGCGGCAGGTGTTGATGAGTGTCTGTAGTTTGTTGGAACTATATTTCGTAACGCGCCAAGTCTCTCAACCACCACATAGAAGCACTGACTTACTTGACTGACATTAGTGTTGAAAATCTGGATCTTGTTCACGCTTTATGCTGAATGTAGTGTAGTAGATCTCCACACTGGTTTCAGATTAATGCAGGAAGGCTTGTCTTGCTTTCCCGATCCTGGCTTTGACGTCCTCATCTGTGCCACCTGCAGTTGAAATGATGCCGCCTAGGTAGGTAAAAGAGACTACTTCCTTTAGGCTCCTTCCATTGATGGTGATTGGCGCTTGTTGTGGGTTGGGTATCTTCATCACCTGTCTCCTCTACATTCACTTGAAGTCCCGTTTTTGCTGCCCTGCCTCTTCTGTCAACTTGTTGGTTTTACCTATAGATCTTCGAGTTTGTGCGACATTAGACACAAGTCGACGGCGAAATCCAAATCTTTTACAGTCTTTTCATAGGCTCAGCGTATGCCCATCTTCTCGCTCCTCACGGTTTGTTGCATGATCCAGTCGACCTGAATCAGGGAGATGATAGGTGATAGTAGGCAGCAACCTTGTCTTACTCCCGTCTTCACTTCAAAGGGATGATTGAGCTTTGCATTGTGAATCACTTGGCTAGCATGTAGCATCATATAGCATATAACTGGTGTTGAATGAGGTTGATAAAGATTTGTGGCACTAAAAGCGTAGTGTTTGAAGCAGCTGCCTGCCAATTTGCTTTTGGGTCGACGCTGTCGAAGCAAAGCCTTTTCAAAGTCGATGAAATTGAGGTAAAGATGTAGTTGACTGGCATTCTGTGCTCTGTTCTATGATGACGCGTAGCAGCATAGCGTTGGAATTTGATGCGCACATGATTTGTACTTCCTGAATCCAGCCCGTCCCGGTATTGGACAAAGTTAAATATCAGTAATTATCAGTCACTATAACCAGTAGACATGGAAGTCAGATAAGAGAAGAAAGACCATAATACGGTCAATTCACAAATGCGAAACAACCATGATATCAGATTATAATATATTCGGTAGTAATATTATGATAAAAGAGATGAATACAGCTGGCTGATCCACGTAGACTTTCAACGCTATTCATTTTAGTGCATTAGCGGCTATAGTAGGAAAGAGCACATAAAAATCATTTAATAAATTTAAAAACCTGTGTGTGTGTGTGTGTGTTTTGTTAGCTATTTATAACCAAAAGCTTGTCTGATCACCTAAATTTACATAACGCTTCTTCACTGATGCCCTGAAAGTTGACTATGAAGTCAAAGTTTGAGGATATACTTGTTTTTAGCTATGAATAATTTACAATGGATAAGTAGTATAACTGTACATGAGACTTCTGAGGGTAATCAGGAAACTCTAAATATTATAAAAACAGTGTGGGGATACAATGGAGTGAAGACGAAGTCACTTTCTGATAGATTGGGGGAAAAATACTCGATCCTATGTTAAGGGATTCCAATTTCTATCTGCTTTTCCACGAATGGGCACTAAATCGCAAACTATGGACTACTTAGACCTGTGGAGCTATGGTTCAGTAATTCAGGGAAATGACTATCAAGCAGTAGGTCAAGAGTTTGAACCCCGCTCCATCTAACGAAATTTAGCCAATCATATAATAGGTGCAACACACTACTTACTGCACGGATGTGCACAAGGTTTCCAAGTGCGTTTAAACCTGTGGAGATGTGGTTGATCAGTGTAAAAATCCTACTTTCCAGTAATGATTTACAGACTTGAATCTTTATCCACGCAACAGGATATTCTTAAAAGCCGTAACACAAGAAGTACGGCTCACAGACAAGTACATAAACATACACAGGGTTGAAATGCACTACAAATATATTATCAGTTTGTTTATTACACTGAGTCAAGTACGTCAATCTAGTCATCCAACTATCAACTATTTCCCTCAATGTCTGCAAGACAGTTGTAACAATATTTGATAAGAGATGATGCACAGTCCCAACATACCAAGGATATGAATACCTATAAAACATGAATTTCTGTTTCATTGGCTTATGTCAGTTGCAGCCTAAATGAATCTTTACTTGATGATCCTGTTTGCTTTAACGTCGCCGTATATTTTCATCGACTATGAAACACGTGATGCTGTTCCTATTGTGGTGATTAGACAGTATAACTTGATAGTGAGAAAGGATGCCAAACAATGCCTAAATAATCGATTGCATTGAACCTGTTAAAGGTAGCTTCATTATTTTAAAAAAAAGTTAACTGCAGATGAACAAAAGACCAATTCGTCTATTCTAAAAAAAAAGAACAACTAACCTGTTGAATAGTGCCATTGATTTCCACGGGGACAATAAAATCTGCATTCTCCACATACTGGAATGAAAATTAAGATATGCAGGGTAACATTTACATCATGAATAAATATTCAGATTAACAAAAAGGTTAGACGGAAATTTATCATAGAGGAGATGGAAATAAAAATAAGTAACTGAAAGATACTGTTTGATTCCCTTTGTGTAATCACAGTGTACTGTGCTTGTATGAAGTCTGTAGACTGCCTACAGTTGGAGTTCTCGAGATAATAGGAATCAATCGTTGGAAACACTTAGTGATATGGCTATGAAAGTTCGAACTTGTTTAATAACCTTCATTCAGCTTTTCTTTCTCCATTCAAACACTTTTGTCCACTTTAATATCACTCCTTTTGTTTCCATTTGCCCTTTGTAGGCTGCTGTGAAGTGTGAAAACTTCTGCGTCACATTTCATGTTTATTTGTCGTTCTGTCGATACCAAAATGGCAATTGATATATACACCATAGTAAAATGAACTAATAGCTAAGCATCCTATTGAAGGGGAAAAGTGTTTGTGACCGTCTTCTGCACAGACTGGCAATGACCGAAGGATGATCTTATTATCTGTTCGTTTAAGTACTAATAATAGGCGCTGAAGTTGTCAATCCGTCATGTCACTACCTAGTAATAAAATATCAAATGTTTTCGATAACAATTGCCACAAAAAGCAACATGTACACAAAATCATACCACCATTACTGACGAAATAATACTTGCGTGATTGTCGTCAATATAAATGTAAAACAGTCAGACAAGTTGAATTTTGTATCAAGATTTAAGCATCTTAGTAAGTCAATAAAAAAAAGCACGCGGAGAGCTGATTGAATGACATTCAATTACCGAGTAACATTCACAAAAATATCATCCGGAAATATACAATATGGTTGGGTGAATAGTGACTCACTACTCACCATTGCTTCATTTGCTTCAAAAAAACCCAGCAAACTTGGACAGTCAAAACTGAAAAATAATATAGGATACCTGTGCGTAAGCCTAGCAAACGCATCAACATATTTCAAGAAAATCATTTAGTAGTAGTTACTACCCTGGTCAGGAAGACTGGAGGTCAAGGATTTGAGGTGACTCGAAGGTTAAGGATATGCATTGAAAGTTTAAAATATATCAGACAGTCAAAAGGTTTGCCTGAAGAAATTTTGCTCAACTATCCTCAATACTGACAGAACAACAGACACGTAAAGGTACTCTTGAAGCTAAAAATGTTGTAATCCTTGGATAATCATGCCTTATAAATGTGTTGAACAGTGTCTATGTATTCGGTAACTAGATGACTCAGGGGAATAACAGCTGATATAATAGGTAAATGTAACCTTCATCCACGGTGCAATCTTCCTGAAGACCATGAAAAGTAAAGCAAAACACTTGTACAATGTTTGCTTGGTCACATGAACGTACATTAGTTCGAAAGCATGTTAGTATTTGAGAGGTTCAAAACACACCTAACATAACCATTTTCATGTTAAAAGCGTTTAGCAAACTACGTCCCATCATGTTAGTTGGATGGAAGCAATCGCCAGTAAGCCTTGGACCTAGATTTCGTGCTTGTTGAAACTCGTCAGCAAAGTGTGTCTGCAACCTCGACATAACTGATGTCCGGCCTGAGATTCAAACCAGCGCCACCCAGTGTTGTAGTCACCGACGTTGCTACTGAGCTATTTGGGCCGCAACTGACCTCCTGTAGGACTGAATTAGATACATTGATTGGTCACTGGATAAGACAACATGAAGTTGATTACTCTCCAGTGACCAATCAACGTACGTTCCATCAGTTTTTTGTCCTTAATGCAATCATATACCTTAGGAACCCTGAGTTAAATGATACGTCTATGTAAGTGTTCAAAGTCTTCATGGATTTACTGTGACCTTCGCGGCACCACTCAGACAAAGTAGTGTCACTAACCCGTCATGAGAATTTTAAGCGAAGAATACTAGATACTGAGATAAATCATTCGACGAAATTAGGAACTTTAACCGACTTAACTGACTGAGAGATGTATCAGCGTTATTTTTTGTATGAGTACAATTCCTGTGGAACCGAAGGACAAGAAATTTACAGAAGGAAGTCCACAAAAAGATAGGAACAAAATAGACCACAGGTGATTGTGACCTGAAAGTAATACAGCTCAACAGTATTCAGCGACAGACATAACCACACGACTTCTCGATTGTCAGAGAGAGAAGAAGAAAGAACAGCTTAATGTATAATTAAATGTATGTCAGCTTCTCATAACGACCAGCTGTTAAAACTCTGATTGGTACTCATCATGGACTGATATCAGTTTGAGGAACATTGGAAACCTGGGAGCACCGAAGAGCTGTTTTGGTCCTAGCACGAGACTCCTCAGCAGTGTGCACCCATGGCCCCATCAGAGATCAAACCTTGGACCCTCAGGTTCAGCCCATCATGAAAATCAATAAAATTCCCATAAGCTTCCAAATTGCCAAAACTCTGTTCTACACCTTGCACATTTCAATTCACTTTTATGTTTAACAAACTACGGCTGTAGTGAAGTATACTCAGTACCTCTTAAGAAATAAGATAGCTATACAGCGAAGCATCAGAAAAAAGCATTATCCCAATAAAGTCAAACAAATTAATTTCATTGTACAGTAAATGTAGAACTAGACACACGCGGCATACATCCAAGGAAACGCATATATATATGCACACATACTTGTGAATGTAAACACTCTTGAACCAACTGTAAGTGATAAGAACTGACAAATATAAACTAAACTAATAGTACCAATGAAAAACATTTTCTGCACACTCTTCAGAGGGCAGATCGATTATGAATAAAAATCATTCTAAATGAAAATAAATACACAAGATCATGCAATAAAAGTTTACTTTATAGAATATAATAAAGCCTTCTAAGCATGGATAGTATCCAGTTGCAGAAGAGAGAAAAAAAAACTCATATTACCATAATATTTATGGTATGGAAAAGAAATTAGATACTAGAGAAATAATTCACAAGTGAATATATTCACTTACACTGATTCCCTATGTTACCATACTTCTCAACAATACCAAAGGGAAGTCCACGAAAAGAGAGTTAAGATATCAGACTGAACAAGCAGAAAGATTTGAATGAATAGGCAACAAGTATGGTATAATTACGATATCAAAAGTAGGGTCAGAATCGAGTTCAGTTTTTATATGTACAAATGAGCTTGTGAATACCCCCCCCCCTCCCCACCCTGCCAATGAGTCTCATCCACCAGGAAACCGAGTAGTCCTTCCTTACAATTCAGTTACTCAGTATTAAATACAATGTCAGGTAAATGTGTTTTACTTTTGCTTAACTAGAGTAATGTGGTCGATAAATTTACGTCAAATAACATGATTATGGTTCAAAACTAGTGACTTATCAATAAACTCTATTTCATCAAGAAGAACACAAATAATATACCGTGATTTGTTGGTCATTTTCACAACCATTTAAGAAATTTAAGGCTGAATAGTCCACTGTTACTCAAGTTTAACTGAATGTCATTCAGGTGATTCAGGTAAGAGTACACACATCTATATCTTCTGAAGTAACAAATCAATGAAGAACTTCCAGCTACTTTGCTCGGCTGAATTAACACCAAGTAAAATATTTACAACACCTGATCTCTATGCATTATTATCCCAATAACTAGAATTTTGACACAGTTACATCATGTATTTTTCTTACACCAACTTTGTTTTCCCCATGTTAAAAATGTTTTGCGTAATAATATATATTATGCATTTGGTGGTTGTGTATAACTTATCATTATTATAATTATTTGCATTATTTCGCAAACCTAGAAATCTTACATCAACCTACGTATAAATAAATACACATTACTATCATCATTTGCAACGTCGACATCTTTTTTTAAAAATTGGTCTGAGCGATTAATTCTACCTTACTTCTATATCACATATGTTCGTTAAGTTCTAACACAAAATTATTTTACTGACTTTACAGTTTACTAGTTTTCTGCACCTTTTCTAGACTATTTTTAGTCGAAAAGAATATTGTTTTTCTTGTTTTAATGAAAATAAATACATATGTTACACTAAATAAGCCATACTAAAAAGTTCATGAACCAAAAATTATTCCAATATTTTTCACAACTGACGTCACCATCTTTAATGCATAATTTCTTAACCTATTAAAGGAAATTATAATGCGGAGTTGTGAGAACGAACGAAAATACTTAACGATTGATAACCGAAGGTTCTGTGGTAGTATCAGATTGCTGCAGGTATCGAGTTCTGAAGCAACAAGTTTCCAAAGTAAAAGGCAAACTTTCCAACCATCATCCTGACCGTAAAAATCAATTTTGAAGACGTCTTCAAAGTGTCTGTACCAAGTATCGAAAGTAGCAATGCTCTCTGGATCATAGAGAAAATCAGTGGCGCTATTAACTACCCCATCGATAGGAGCCAAACTGGGAGCAGCCGAAGAGGATGGTGGTGCAATAGCAGCAGCAATCTTGTTAGTAGCTAAACTTTCAATAAGCTTGAACTGCTGTCCTAACATATATTCAATTTTCGAATAATCCATGACCAGGAAATCATCCCCGTCGCCACAGTTATGATGAGCAGTTGTGAGAACGAACGAACATACTTAACTATTGATAGTCACGGGTTGAGACGATTCAACCCGAATGATTCGCAAAGAGAAATCAAAAGACTGGAAATCAGACGAGTTTATAGTATTTCGGACTGAAAACGTTTATTAGTGAAAACGAACCCTATTTATAGAGTTTACAGTAACCTTGAAAGCCAATGAATAATTAGTACATTTAGAGACGCAGGAGCCAATCAGAAAGCTAGTGGATCATACAAAATATGACAGATGCGTGGAAAAAAGAGCGCAAAGTAAAACAGTTCAAATATACTCAAACTCTAAGTATGGGTGAAATTTCAGATCATTTTTAATTACCAACTTTCTCTGCCTCTATATACGATGAAGTAACATCGGACATATATTCATGAGGTCACAAAGCATTAACCTTGGCCGCATAACAATTATCAGTTGTAAGTGATACACAAAACAGAACAATACCCCTACATTTCACATCAACAACACATTGATCAGGAAATCAGCGTGAGGGAAAAGTCATCGAGAAGTAAGGTTTAGAGAGAGATAAAGGAGAGATATCTTTACTTCCTAGAGATCATCTTAAATCTTTGTCTATAGATTTCAGCTCCCCAATCAAATCCCCTAAACAATTCAGACGAAACCTCAGGTGATGTTGATTACTGTTGCCATGGTATCATAAGAATCACGTTCTGATAAATTTTCTACTTTCCTCCCCCCTCATCCCTCTCTAATCATCTTCAGTTAACACTGAGAGAAGTGCAAACTTTTATTACGAAAAACTGAAAGCAAGGATACAGATATGTTTAGCTTTTCAACTACTAATCTTGAAACGAATGTTATTCGATTATTTCTTTACCGTTTTCATGTATCCTGCGATGAATTTAATTTACTATTTCGCCTCACTTAGTTAGCTTTTATGATTGCTGTTGTTTTCAGCACAGTATATTGAACAAATAATGTTTTAAACTGATTTCACGCTGTCTCATGAACAACTGTCTCCAAGGATTTAGGGATGAATAATAATAATATAACGTTAATAACCATGATCATAACAATTTATCGGGGAGTGAGTAAATGCTAAACCAAATTAAGGAGATAAGGTTTAACCTACTTTGAAAGAACTATGCACTAGTGTTTCGTCCAAGTCCAAAACTAAACACTTTTTGTTGATACAATCTGAGTCTACTTCACCCAACAGATCTATTTCAGGCGATAACTGAAATAAGAGAAAATAATATTAACAATTTTAAGAATCTTTGTAGTCTTTAAAGTAAAAGAATTCTGATTAGATACAAATAATTTAATAATAAGTAAAACTTTTGGTTTCACAGTATTTTAACTTGAAGTACAACACTCCTGAGACGAGATATTGTTAGTTAGTTATGAATAAACTTCAGGGTAATGTGATGTAGATGTATGTGTGATGTAGAAAATGTATAGAAATGTTATTTTTGTACTTACTACTCTATTTAGGAAGGTACTACTATACGAATGTAAAAACCCAAATTATTCATACTCATAGAAACAACATTGTTAATCAAAACACAGGAGTAATAACTAAAAATACTATCGTGTTCCTGTGGGTATTCTAGGGTAAAACACTGAAGGTTTTAAATATGTAAACCAACACCCTCCCACTAAACATTTGTTAAGAAACCTTCACGAAACATCTCCTGGATAGGTGGTCAAAAACGTTAGTCACAGTTAGAAGCCTATTAGTCTACCCTCAGATAAATATTGTAGGTAAAAGTAAGACTAGATCTGGCAATAACCAGCATCTATTAATATTTACTCAGAATTTATAATGCTAAGAACCACTACAGGGGGGATTATCACAGATATATCATATACTGAAGAAACTAAATCGACTCTAAGTTCACCCCATTTTCAACATAACTGTCTAAACCTGAAAGTATCCATTTATGCATTTGGAAGACCTGCTCGTGTTTAACTTGGATACGAGAGTATGAAGGGTATTTTTGAAGGAATATCCATCTGACATTTATCATAGCATTGCACCAATAATCGGCTTGACATCATGAGGCATTCCGTCTAGTTTGAAGATTTTGGAACAAATAACCAAACCCGCCGAAATTTGTAGATAAACATATCTAATTGTTACTGTTGTTAGCGGCTAGTAGTGAGATCCAAGAAAGATACTTCATCCTATTTGGGATTCACAAGTTAGATACATATGCATTTCAATGACACGACTGCACTGGTAATCGGATTCAGCGACCGCTACTTCAAACACCAAAGTTATATATATATATATATATATATATATATATATATATATATATATATATATATATATATATATATATATATATATATATATATATATATATATATATATATAGTTTTCGATGTACATAGTGCATTTTACCAAGTACATTCACATGCATTAATAACTTCATACGAAATATATTTACAGTGCTTTTTATCCGATTATTTGTGAGTAGTGCAACATAACGTCATCAGCATATTCAACACCAATAAAGAAATATGAAAATTATGTTGTCATTGCCGAGTGTAATCGACAAGTTAATGAGGAATGATTCAAAACTAACATTTACGAATCTAACTAACAGCCCTCTAAACAATTAAGAGTCAAGTAACTAAGTTACTTTTGTCCTAGAATCCTGGATGTTAAAAAGTACAGGCTTGGACACATTCTCTGTTTAAAAGATGGTTATCTGCAGTATACGAAATTTAAATACTAACGGTGGAAATAGAATACGGAAATTTCTCAAATAGAAAATATATTCGAATCAAATACAAAACACTAATCCACTGAGCTAACTCGATAAAAAGAAGTATCCCAAAAGAAAAATAACCACATTATTTAAACGACAATATTATGCGAATTCGAACTTACTGAATCCATGTTTTCAGAAGAAGCATCACCCCGACCACCATTTCTGTCATAATTAATTGAATATTGGTCATGAGAAAAACTGCTTGGAGTCATATGGTGGTCACCGTCAGGATCATCACAGCCCATCCAAGGTGAATTAAGAGGTTGTAACTGCTGATGGATCACGTGGTGTGCTGATTCGATATTACAAATGTTATTCATCTGCCCAATTGGATTTTGTTGTTCACTGTTATTATTACCTTTCACAGAGTATAGATCATTAGTGTGGCGTTTAAAGGTTGGAAATCGAAAAGAACAGTGCAATTTAGATGTGTTGGCGTTTGCTCCCACAGCTGAGTGCGAAACAGCAGACTCTGTATGGTCATCGGGTTCACTGAGGTTACAACCATTAGACACAGAAGTCAAATGAGCACAAAAACTGTCAGATTTAGATCCTAGTGCATTCAGTACTGTATTAGGCAACACAGGTTGAAAACTTGACACAACAGATTGGTGCATATCCTCAGTGGGTGAGTGGAGGGAAACATGATCAGCAGTGCTTTTAACTGTATCACTAACTGGCAAATCTTTTAACTTTCTGAAACGCTTTGTTTTACTAAATTTGGCAAACTTAGTTGGATTTTCGTTCACTGAATAATTTATTTTGCTATATGGAGATGCATCTTTGTCACTGACTAACTTCAAGCTTTCAGACTGTGATTGTTTTACAGGAGATACATTGTTTTGTTTAGAAGGGAATGAACGATGGGATTTTTCTGGAAAACAACACAGAAAACGACGCCATTTGCTTGGAGGCTTTAGCTGTTTTTCATCTGCATGGGATGGGATGACTTCTTTAGCCTCTGGTTTGCGAAGTTCATGGACTACAGTGGAAACAAGGAAAATAATCATACTTTCATAAAAATACAGAATATGAAACATGCAATTTTGATTCAAACGAATAGCTAACTGCAATAAACCTGTCTTAAGTAATGATGACACTGGTTGAATACACAAGCTTCGTTATCAAAAGAATAGTGAATTCATTTTCAAACTAATCAATGAGCTTCATTTATCAATAAAGTCGGTAACATACAACTTGGACATTTTTCCAATACTCCAGGCATTTTAAACCTAAACAGAACCATGCTTTTGCATGTCAACAGGTCATCTTTTTCAAAACTGCAATAAACAGTAACCAATGAATTAGTGACCTAGGCATCTATTTCTCATCCATTCACTCCAGTTTAAATCTACACAACTAAGTGTTGTCTGAATAACAAAACCCTCCTATCCACGTACAATCATCCCCAAAGTACATCAATTCAAGTACACTCCAGAGGAGAACAAATAATAAATGAGAATCGATAGAAATAAATAACGGAGACATTGTGAAACAGGAATAAAAAGGAAAGAGTATTATTACGCTTAAGAATTAAAGGAAGATAAAAAATAAGTACATTTTTGAAACTTTAGCCGCCATCTACTCTTCCAAATCACTCACATTTAACATGGCTCAGATTGTATTCAGGAGTTAAAATTTATACCCATTGCTCATTCTAACGACAACCGACTTCGTAAATTACTTTTATGTATGGATTTAGCTACCTTTTGGTCTTCAACTCACTTAATCCCAATTAGCAAGTCAGAATTGATGACAACTTCGCAGGCGCAGCACGCTTCAGCCTCTTTAACCTATCTAGTTTTACAACCTACCGAGTGATTTTCCCCTTTAGTTTATAGTGTAGCATCTAATTTCATTATGGCTCACTTCATTGTCCAACTACACAAAAGTTCATTTCTGAATAACAACATATTCCATTTATTTTTCATCTTTAATAAAAGTGAAAAATAGAACTGACACTAATTCTACTTAGCAAAATTACCTTTCAGCTGGCAAGCAAATGTCCCATCAACATTACAGGCAGTGTATCTAGAAGGCATTATATTCCGCAGCAGTGTGCTCTCCTGCTTTATGGTGCATGATATGGATACGTTTCAGATATTCAAATTTAGTAATATTGAAATTAGTGCTTAAGAGATGAAATTGTCAGTCCAATAATATCAAGGATAGATGGAGAGTTTTAAACAAGGAAACTAAATCAATCGGTGAAACTGAGAATTGACACCAAGTGAAATCCCAGAGGAGCATTCTACTTATGTCAAAAAATCAGTCACTGAGATGCAACAGTGCAGCAAATCCATATTGAAAAGACTAAATCGCTATGTCGGATCCTGAAAAAACTAAGTATCATAAGATACGTCTGAAAATCTGTCACTAAGGTATTTGTCATTTTCCTAAACTCTAAACACAATCTTAATGTGTCCCACCTAATAATCTTCAACTTATTCGCTTTATAATCTTTCGCTCGGAATTTTCTCTGTGGAATGTGAGAACTTGAATTGATGTACTTCTGTTCAGTATTGCATTTTCTTGTCCTTCAGACATAAAGCCTAAGTTAACAGCATGGTTTGTGGTGAGTATTACCAACAACTATTTGCTGAGCACCAATAACCCTTGTGAATAGCTTCAGTATGGCTGCAGAAGGCCAGAGTTTTACCCATCGACTTAAGCCACTTGCTGTACCGAGGGGATATGCAAAGGCATTTACGAAAACAAATAGTACATGAAGCAATTTAGTGTCTTTTGAAATAATTGAATTGGGCATTGGAATAGTAAATAAATAATATGGTGCAACTCAACCCGGCACTTGTTTATATGCTAGGGCTGTGATCCATCTTTTGTAAGGGCTCAAAATACTACCTGGTCGTCTGGTCACAATATGGCACAGTGGGATTCGAACCCGACAAAAGTAGTTTGAAACTCAAAAGGTTACGCCACTGAGCCACATAACCACCCAACAAGGCGGAATATGACCACCTGTGTTTTTACAGTACTGCTGGGATATGATAATACTATGAAATCGGAGGTGAGAAGATTAGGTATGGCTTTAAGTGATAGTAAGATTTTACTCTCAGAAACGTATCAGCTCAAATAAACGTGGTGTTATCTGAGGTTTAACGACATTCTCTGTGCACACTTAATCTAGGTTTAGTCATATGTACACTGTCAAGAACATTTATCTCTATGTAGGTTTGAAACCTCGGTGTATCTGTCAGCTACGGTTGTGACAAAGTGCAGACACAAATAAATAGTGATACTCTTCTTCGTAGAGGTATATTTTGCAAGGCGGTCCATGATCAGTGCTTTTCCTAGGTTATATCTAAAGGTAGCAATGTGACAGCATTCACATTGACCTACTAGACCTAAATAAAACATGGCGCGACGAATTAGTCCACCATAGGCTGGTGCGCTCTTAATGAGATAAAATGCGTCCATCTAAAAGGCAACAGGATAACCATAACAAATTAGTGAGTATTGCTCACCAGCACTATACCTTCAAGCAAACCACCCCAGGTTAGAATAGCAATCGATCTGGGTAACATACAATTCCTTCGATATTATACGACTCGACCTTATACATAGTCATATACTCGTTTGCTAGTGTACCATTATGAAAATAAACAATTTGTACATTATAACAACAAAACCTAGTAACCTCCTGTAAGAAAGAACTTAAGTTACTTCGTATAGATTATGATTTGAATAGCTGATAAGTAATCAATGCGATAAATTTACTTCGTTGTTAGAAAGTGTAATCTGTTATCTACATTCCCTATAAACTCAACTTACAACGGCTAAAGTTGTTATTTACCTGCTTATATGTTATCGCCATTGAGTGAAAGCGATTACATGAAATGCTTACAGGTTTTTAGTCACGGATGTCTTAGTAGTGTTGCTAGTATTTGGTAAAAATCACTATGTGACCGATATTGAGGTCGGACAAATGGTACTAGGCAAGGCAAGGAAATCGATTATTGCGGTTGTGAAGCTTCATCGGCTGGGGTATCTCGGATATGTACTGCGTATGCGGAGCCACTGCTTACCTCGACGTGTAATGCTGCAGGAAGCCGGATTAGGTTAGAAGAGGGTTCAGGGTGGCCACAACAAGATGTGGCACCAATCGATGAAGTCCGTGACTGCTGATCTGAGCCGTGTAGGGATGCAGACTGCCTGGTTATGGTCCCTGAGACGATAGGAATCAGTGGTTGAGAACTGTTAGTGATACGGCGGAAAATCGGTCAGTGGTGCAGATGTGTTCACTCACTCACCTCTTCTATAGCTTGATTATTCACCCCAACCATTATCTTCAGATTTTTTATTCTCTCACAACTTTGTCTACTTTGATATCACTCTTTTTAATGGTTTTTTATATACTACTGCGAAGTGTGGCAACTTGAACCGATGAACTTTAGTGTGAGGTCTTTCGTTGGTTTCGTCTGTCTATGTGTTCATGAAAAACAAAATATTGTCACCTTATTTGCCTTAAACACCATGAGAATCAAGTACTTGATTGGATGGATGCACCCAGCTCTAAGTGCATCCTCTCAACCTAATGAACTAAACTGTATAATGAAAAGTAACATTTAGGAAGCATCAAAATAAAAACTACAATTGGACCCATACAGCTACAATGAAAGTATGTTTAATTTTTATAGACAAGTTGCAAGTCTAGTTATATCTGAAGCTGCCTCACTGGTATCATTTAGTTACTACTATCCAACTTGTTGTACAGAAGACTTGAAGAAACAAGTTTCTAATACATCGTTCACAACTACAACTTTGTGAACCAGTCTAATCGTCATCTCATCTTTGTTATATGCAAGAGCACCATAATAAAGTGGCTACACATGAATTCACAACATTACTAACTGACTTACTTCTTGCCCAACAGTCAACAGACATATCGTATTATTCCTTAGTCAGTTATTTAGTCAAAGACAGGACCATTTAGAAATTTTAAAGTCTAAATGCACATTCATGTACATGCGTGTAGGAGGAGGTCAGTTAAACCCATTGTCGGGGTAAGTGATACTAATTGGCTACTCAACCTTGATAGGTGAAGTGGGATTCGGACCCATGCCTCACTGGTTGAAGACCAAGTACTTACAATAATAACCAGGGCCACATATGGTTTTTTAAAACCAATAACCAAATACCTTAAGTTCCTAAGTGCCTATCATTAACAGTTATTTGGTTGTTCATGGGAAGAGACAGCGGAACTACAGAAACGTATGCATACTTCTTAAGTGATTTTACGCTGGTTTAATCCGAAAACCTAAATGTTCACCAAAACCTAAAGTTATTCATCATTTATATTCTCTGTGACTCATTTTATCTTAGACTACGTTCGGTGTAGGCCTTTACTTTAAGTGAACATGATAGTATGTAGTATATGCTGATTTTACATTAACCCTTCTGTGGCATCAGTTAACTCATGTGGTGTGAACGCACGGAAACCAACGAAACAGGAATTCGACTGGATAAAACTGACCAGACCATCTCACATAGCAGATCTTTTGCAAGTAATGAGGTTATGATAGAGCCAGAAAATACCAGTAAGATTCAAACCAGTGATCTTTAGATGTACGGTACGATGGAGAATATTTGAAGCTCAGGAGGATAATTCTGATGGTGTTGTATTCTCTGAGTTGAATTGTTTAGTCATGGAGCTTTCTGAGGTTTTTGCTGATGCTGTCTAGAATGAGGACGAAAGCTCCGGGATTAAATAATCCAGCTCAGAGGACAAATCAAAAAGATACACGGTCTGCCTAATAATAATTCGCCAGTGATTCCCCACACAAATGTGAAGTGCATTAGAAATGCTGTCTTAACTAATTTTAGCAGTGACCGTTTGATCACACTAAATGTTAGTGGTGACAATAAAATCTTACCTTTTAAAGTAACCTCAAATAGCATTTCTCTCCACATCTGAATACGCTTTCAGCAGTCATCAACCACATTTTTTCAACTTCGCTGAAAAAGAACGCAGGACCAGACCAAACCAATCCAGCGTGACCAAAATATCTGCATGAGAAAACCTATCAGCTTACGAAAGAACAATCATGTAAAAACAGAGAGTCCAGCATGACAAACCAATGCGATCTGATGTCTCCCCGGAAAAAGACTCCTTCAGTAAATCTAATCTATGAAGTTACTAGTTAACTCAAACGACCATTACAGGAATTGAAACAAGCAAATATGCATACAGAAGCATTTCATTACACGAAATCTGTGAGTAATTTCATTTTCATAGCCGACAGTTAGTTCCATACATACTTTTAGAAACCAGTACCAAATATCAATGGCATATGGTGATAGCACCATTAGTACACAGCAATGATTAAAAGTGAAATTTTACTCGGAAATGATAAAAGTAAAAAGTTTTCTGATATGCAAAGGTAATATGGATTGGCATCTACTTTGCATGCAAATCACGTTACAAATATGTGAATAACCTAACAGGTTTCCAACCTAGGCAATTCGACTAAAACTAACAAATTGGCTAGTATGCACGTTTTGATTCCAGCCTGAGTTTATCAGCTACATAGTTATCTGTAACAACCAATACAACACAACTCGACTAAGGGGGTCAACAAGTGAAACTAGGTAAATCACGAGTGATCTCTCTTCGAGTAACTGATACCGAAACTGATTTCATACAGGTGAAATGCAGTAAATTATGGATTAAAGAGTCGTACTAAGCTTACCTGAAGATCGTGCACTGTGATCGCTATGAGTTTCAGGGCATCCTTCCTGCCTACTAGTTTTTAGAGAACGTGTGCTGCCGCTGATTGATTGGGACCTAGAGCTTGACCGGCAGGCAGCCTCTTGAATGGCAGCACAGGCAGCTTCAAGATTCAAAGGGACAGGCGGAGGAGAAAGGACAAGCCTTTCATATTCTTCAACAGAAATATTAGCTGTAGGGTGGGCTTCAATCGACTTTTCTCCCCCTCCTACAACAAGACTTCCAGCACCAGCCGCAGAAGCCGGTGACAAGTTTTCCTGAGGCACTAGTGACATGTCATCTCCAAAACAAGGCTTTCTGCTTCGATAAAGTACACTGTCCATAAGTCCCAGACATTCAGGAAGGAAAAACAAACTGTAAGATCCGGCTTCAGAACAGGCGGGTCATTGGTGGAGAGTATCTGCGTTAGAAGACTAAAACAAAATTTCTGTGGTAACACTAGACTTCGCACCAGTATCATTGATTTATACCACGATGTCAAAACTGATCTTAAAAGCTATGTTCACATAAACACAACAACGAAAGTTGTACAGCAACCAGAACACCCTGGAAACTAACGACACATACCTGCTAGATTTCCATTCCTTAAATTTCAGGTGTATAACACTGTATCATCTGGCATCTGAATTGCGTCATCATGGCTCAAAACGGATATGACTCACTTATTTTTTTATGCAGACGGAGTAGCACAGCTTTCTGCAGGTTGAAGTCGCGAAACACTGAGCATTTCAATCAAGGTCAGGGAAGATTTGAGAAATATGGTATATCCCCGTCTCCTAGGGTAAGCTCACCTCTCACTCCTCTCTCCCTCCAAGGCCTAGTCATTTAACAAGCCCCGTAACTGTAGGTATAAGCTGGATGTTTGGTTGTGTGCTGTATACAAGTCGGTATATTAGGAGTATGCAAACGGCATGGGCACTAGAGAAGTTGAGGAAAGTGTTTTAGCAGATGCATTACCTCCTTAGAAAATATGAACTAGTAACACTATCAAAGTGTACCAAAAACCACGGTGTTAAGCTTTCTTCCCTGTATCTATGAACGCAAGGGAAAGTCCTGAGCAATAGGATTGTAAATTCTTAAGCAAGTGGACTAGTCATTCATTTGTGGGAAGGTGAATGTGGAAATTGTCAATCAGGATTCGAAGCCATTCTGGTCGTGCGGAATTTGTTCACATTGAAGCGATCGCAGTGCATAACCTTTGTGTGTTAGTTGTATTTGATGAAAGTTAGTCTATTTCAAAAGCCCCCTGTGGAGGAGAAGACTAACGTTCTTCCTTTCTTACGACGATTGACAGAGGTAGAAGTGACAGGATTCACGGAGAATGAATTTAGTTAAGCGTTAGCCAGAAGGGATGTATACAATCTGACGGACCTGGTGAGACAAAGTGAGTCACGATCCATGAACTTACTGTGGAAATGCCATGACAAGACAGGAAACAACAAAAGATGTAGTATATATTGTACAGTTTGAAAGTGCTGTGTAGAACGATTCCGTTACGGAAACGCTTGTCATGGACCTCGCTGCGTTGGAAACACAGGTATTGCCTGTGACATGCAAGAGTGCCATGATTCGGCAGATGACCCTGGCGCTAACAGACCACTGGCATAAAGGTACGATGCCACACAGCACAACAATTTAGAATCTCGAACTCGAAATCCCATCTCAAACAGTTGCCTGAATAGAGTTATGAGGAAAAGTAGCGTTGGGCGATCACAGCTTCCTCACTGTCCTTTAGATTTATTTGGCATTTGCCTACTATGGACATCACCGGTCATGCAGTATATGTACTGGCTGCCCAAAATAAAGATGGCTACATGCGCATGCGACCATTACAACAATACATCATCCATTTCGGTATTTCGCCCTATACGTCCCCTCACTTTCTCATATTTTGTCGTTCGGCGCTGATGTGTCAGGATGGCTCAGGCCGAGAGTCAGTGAACTTAGATGGCCGCCTGAGGACGTATATGCCGAGAGCCGAGGTGGGCTTTAAGGTGGAAATCCTTCGTGGAAAGTTGCTTAGGACACCCAGGTTGACTCCGATTATTTTGCATACCAATACTGTCTCCAATAAAGACAGAAAAATTCATACCAGATAAGAGCCATGACTTTATTTGAGGACTTCAAACCTGCGTGATTTTGGACATGATAGGTGGCCCCCTTGATCTGAACATCTATCCTTTATGAATGGAGACGCTAGTTGTGGCGAAGCATACCCTCTTTTCCCCTAACTTATGTGTATATACATATGCATATGCATGGGGGCAAGCACTTGATGATGGCACTGCGCGAATATCGTGTTATATCGCGAATCGAACCGCTGGATTCAAACCAAGTGGCTCATTGTCGACGTGCTTCTATGAGGCCTGGTGGCTGGCTCGGACCCTGGTGGGGTCATGGATGCGCACAGATGACAGGTGAAGGACCAGGGTGAAGCCGGCGCTTCCAGGTGACAATATGATGGTATAGAAAGCTCGTTGGATATATACTCAGTGGTAAGCATACCACTGTGATGCTAGATTTTACTTTCTGAGTGTGCGTTTTCTGATTTCGATCAAAATATTGAGGATGATGTTCTGCAATGAAATACGGCTTCTATACTTGTTGATGCCGTGCTGGATGAGGATGAGACCTAGTTTCCCTTTTGCAGTTGGAAAGGATGGAGTGAATGCCGCCTTCGCTATACCAGGGCGGCGTCTGTAGAGGAAATGAAAATAATAGATGAGTTGAGAGAAAACAGCAACTGCAGGAACACGCCATGAAAGACGCCGTATGAAAACGACCAGAGTTGTAGACAAGAGAGTTTGGCCGGTAGTATCTGTCACGAAGAGTAACTATTATAATGGTTTCACAAGTCGCGGTGTGCTATGGTTCAAATATTAGCCACAAAGTTATGTGATGCTGTTTTACGTAAGCGGATGAAGTTACATTCACTATAGATGTGTATGTGTGAATGGTTTGGAAAGTTTTTATGACGGACTCTGCCCAGATGTCTTGAATTCAGACCTGCAATACAGTAAGGCATAGATTATGTCTGAGGTCGCGGGGAGGAGAAAAGACGCATGAATAGGATGTAGTTACAGGAGATGTTGAGATAACAGCATGGGCATAGGTGATTAGACACAAGAAATGGGGTCAGTTTTTAAGTGCAGATTTGAATGCAACTACTGGTATCTTAAGATAGGAGTTGTACTGGCGATTTAAGCGAAGAAGACACAGGCGGCAAGCAGATATGTAGCTTAAGAAGCCTTCGTAATACAAAATCATCTTATACCGACCTATGCACCCGGGCCTCCAGTAAGGGAAGCAGGTTCCTATGGTGTGCTTTCATCAGTAAAAAGTTTGTGTCACTGTGTAGCACTGGTTACTGAGAAAAATTTAAACTTTTCCTCAGAAAAGATTTCTTGTAACGTGATTTCGCGTGCGGCAACATTTACGCTGGGAAGCTGCACTAATCGCCACTCTGTTTAACATCAAGGGTAAGTGCCATACGTGCCCACCATCAATTCCGCCTGACATCAGCCACCAACCTCCCTTTTATAGGATGTTAAGCCCTGAGCAGCGTACCTTTACAGGGCAATTAGTCCAGCAACATAAATGTCCCTGTAATGAGTGCTTACACTCTATTTTCGTTTCCCCGGGCCTATATCCCTTGTGACATTTATCACAGTACAGTGGGAAACTTAGTTCACTGCCTCTGTGGTAGCCTGAAAATTTGCACCGGGGAGGCACGTTAGCAAATCAGAAGCGTAACATCAGAGCATTCTTTAAAAATGAGCGGGAAGATTTCTTTGCATATATGCATGTATATATGCAAAAATAGAGAAGGTTAACGCCTGGTATGGCATCGGTTAGTTTGGCGATGAGGAAAGTTAAGCAGTGGTTGAAATTGTTGGAAGCATAAAAAAATCTCCGTTGAAAGAACTCAGACCCAATGGATGTTTAATCCAGTATATTGGCTTCGTTTGTGCAAATAAAGGTACGCTTCGTGGCGTTCTTATGCAACCGTCTTGAAGAGAATGCTGGATCGATACAGGTCAAAAAGGGGGAAATGAGATGAATGAAGGGGAAATTAGTTGAAAATAAGAGGGAAGCTCAGTGGTTGAAGAAGGCTACATTCGTGGGGAACCCAGTCAGCCAAAAGAGGGGATTTAATGGGGAAAAGTAGGCTTTTACGGGGAAGCTGTTTCTGAAAGGCATACAAAGTTTGGAAAAAGGGGAAACGCAGACAAGTAGACGACATTTGTGGGGAAACCGTAGGGCAGCCACCACAACCATTGGTGGAAATGTTTAAGGGAATCTTAATATAGACTACCGACCATTAGATATCCTTTTAATATTGTGCATATGCATTCTTTGACGGAATTCGACTACACATCTGGCAAGTATGTGTTTGTTTAAGCTCATTGCTAATAGTTTCGGAGTACCTGCGACATGTATAACGGATGTGAGTAGCGTGCGTTTCTCGTATATTGCGTTTCATGTTATAATATAATAGTATCTTTCGTCAGGAAATTGGGATGCGTATTGTTACAGAGGCATGTTCATTGTCACCGGTCTACGTTTTACAAAAGAAGTTAACGAATTTGTGAAGCAGTTTCGGAGGGGTCCAGGAGGTGTATAAAAAATCTGTTCGGGATGTGGAAATGGTTTCCGGAACTTGTAAATTAGCCTATTTTATAGTGATGAGTGCCCAGGTGTAACTGAAGAACGTGTAGATCCCATGGAAGTAGTTGATTGCGACCGCATTCCTACTGCAAGAATGAGTGGTAGCGCTTTTTGTCATTACTCACTTCCTAAGAGTAAGATATAGAAACTGCTGTACCTAACGCTCCACTGGAAGGAGATACGGAAAGTAGACATGAGCGAATGATGAAGGTGGTCATGAGTATGGTGCTGCGAACGAACACAACGCAAGCCGGTGGTGACGTTAACCTGCAAATATTATGCGATGAATTTCACCAACTGCCTTGCAGTGTTCGTAGTGCATTACAAAGGTGTTGTCCGTGTGAAGCTAGAGCTATAGGCTCACGAATATATTACCATATTGGTCTTAAGAGTAATGTACTCCGTCATGTAGAGCAGTGGCTACGTTTCAGTACCTTCAACGAAGTTGAACTTCAGTCGAACTACGATAGACTATCTCTTTCAAACAGTCCTAGTCATCACCTGTGGCCTGTATTAGGTAAATCATGTCGTCCACGTGTTACCGAAGTCTTCCTTATTGGTATACACGGTGGACAGCAAAAGCCAGCAGACTTCAGTGATCCCTCTGCTGACCTGATGGATGAGTTACGGCCATTACTGCCGGAGGGAATTTGCG